TTTTTTTTTTTTTGCCCCCCCCAAAGGTGTCACCACTGTGCCAGATTTCCATGTAAATCAATAGGATCTGTGTAAGCAAGCACCACAAAAGGGGACAGTAACGCAGGCAGCAGCTGCTGAATGTGCACACTGAAGTCCCGCAGAAGTTGCAAGCACCAGAGGAACCCAACCACGAGCGGTGCAACAGCCAAAGCACAAACACTGCTGATGCAGCACTAGCTAAATAAAGGAAGATGAAGGCAGAATTTGCACAGCTGCTAAACGTTGCAGGTTTGCATGTACACACAAATGCTTATCAAGGAAATTTACATTACAGGTAGATGTCAACAGTCTCAGTTTAAATCAGTGATCCGTAAGCAAAGAGACTGATCAGCTTCTTTCTTTGATTACTTTTCCCAGCAAGCTGAACTCCACAGCTCAAAGCTTCAGTTTTAACTTTTTACTACAAGTGTGACCACATGTATGGTCCATACTCAGCCTCTTCTCCATGATGGCTGCAAGTGACATCTTTGGGAGTAACTTTACACAATTCCTTTCAAATGAAAAATATAAAGTGCATACAGCACCTTCAGGTCATCTCATATGGCTAAAATATCTGCAGTTAAAGGTAACTTAAAATTGAGGCACATTCTCTGTTCACAGTTATATTCCAGGTCCCAGAAGAATAAAATTAGTTAACTTGTAAGGTAAGACCAACAATCGCTAGTGCAGGGTTTAGGGAACTGGAAAAGGGAGAGGACCCCTATGCTGAGGTCACTGGTTCGAGATGGGACAAAGCAACAGTGCTGTGAGCACATAAAAGCACCTACTAGGCTGAAATGGGAAAAGAAAAAAAACCACACCAACAAAAACAAACACCAAAAACCAGAAGAGGCTTATAATGTGCACAATGCAGCAACACCTAAGCATTTATTTCAAATGCTTCCTATGGGAAGAAACTGGAAAAAATGAAACATTACTTGCAAACTTTTCAGCTCTGATCTATTAGGTCAGTCAAGCCTTTCATCCCTTTCCCCAAATACAAAGAAACAGGAAAACATTCAAAATTCCCACAGCCATTTCATTGGGAAGATGGAGTCTCACAGCTTTGAGAAAGACAAATTTTCCAGTGCTAAGGAGGCTCCTTCCTTGTCTTCTCCAAACCCTAGCATGTTTCCAATCTAAATATGCTTTCCTTAAGGTTTTCTTCGCTACTTCTGGTTAAGAAGAAATTTAAATACAGCATGACTCAGATCCTTCATTTACTCTTTGGGAGAGTAAAGGTGGACGAAGAGTGGCTTCTGCCAGGCTTAGCTTGTTATCTTCATTGGAACACCATGGCCTAAAATGCCTTCATTTGTGAGACTTCGTAATTCTAGGCCTTGGCTTCACAAGGTGCACAAACATACCAAGTAAAACAAATGTCAGCCTTCTTACCACTTTGCATCTGCTTTTTTTTAATAACTGTTTTTATATAACAGTAATTTCAAAAATGGTAATTATTACTGCAGATTCATCACAGCGTACATTCAGGGGAATCTGAGGCTTTCCTTTCTTCTCCACTACTCCACCAAGCACCCACACTCAGGTCATTTGGGCTCTCTCTAGAATCACCGAAACATCAGCTGTTTGATCAAGAAGGCTGCATCTAAGGTATCAGTACACACTGAAATGGATTCTGTTCCCAGCTCGTGCAGCCTACAATGTATTGTGTTTTTCCCTTACCTACAAGCATATACTCAGCAACAGTTCCTGAAATAAGACTCCTCTCTACTTCTGGAGTTTAACTTCCACAGGGAAGTCACAGGTAGAAGTGGAGCTGCACATACTCTCATGGTTTTCCATGTCAGACTCTTGCTAGAATTGATTAGTTGGATGAATTAGTTGTCATCTCAACTTGGCATACAAGAGTACTTTACACAGTACCTAGCAATTCAATTACTAGGTCATATCTACGCAGAAAACCCCCTCAGCAAACTAGTGATCATTTTGTGATACCTTTCACCACAGAAGCAAAGCCAGTTAACTTGTGACCCAATACCAAAGTTTACAAACACTTCCACAAGGAGTTGATTGCAATGAGACCTTTTCAATTAAGAGGTACTTGGAAATTTCCCTTAGCTCGCTCTACACAGAAATCTCTGATTTTGCTTATCAATTAAGTACTGTTACCAAATGTAACAAACTGGTCCTTTTGTTCTTTGTTGGCTATGGAACAATAGCAGCCTTTGTCGCAGTCTCAGCACAGCTATTTATAGGTTGCGTCTCTTTAGAGACCATTTCCTCTCGATTTCTTCCACCTCTACTTAGTGCAGTCTACAGACATTAATTCCTTATTAGTAAAACGTTGTGTGTTTTAAGAGCTAAATCATGTTGCAAAAGAGAAGTGTCCGTTACATCAGGTTCATTTTTTTCCCCAAACCAATTGTCAGGAAACATGGTTCAATTTCCTTCTCTACAGGATCGGTACCAGGTTAATTCAGAGACTGAAATACACTTTCTGCCTCCAGTAATTTAAATGTATTAGTAAAGTCTTAATTCTACTGTTTCATATCCTTATTTTACAGACTTCACCACATACAGTGGGCAATTTCTGAAACTTCACAGCAAATGTGGATCAGGCAGTCTTTACAAGGCTTGTTGTCACGCCGACAGCAGGAGGGATGAAGACTACCCTAAATATTGACTACAGAGACTCCTTACACCGAAATAGTGCAGAGTACCATTATGTCCTTCCTGGGAGCAAAGACCCACTGCTGGGGTCCCTGTGAAATGAGAGAGGAAGAAAAGCACAAGGAAATCCAAGTCCCCTCTAATTTAACGGATCCCAATCCAATGCAACTTGAAAGGACTCCAGAAGAACCTGATCCCTCAATAGAAAAAAAGAGTAACTATCTTTTCCACAGGTTTTTAAGTTTTCCTCTCAAATCCCAGGACAGATGCACTTTTCAAATCATCTTAGATTAAAGGGATATTCATTCTTTCCAACTAGACTCGGCAGTTGTTCCTCTGTCTACTCAAAGGGCATTATTTAGCAATGGATGCTGGTGGGCCGTTTCCTGTGGCCTGCACCATGTCTCCAAGAGGGCTGTGGGAATCTGTGGGAGTGTAGAGCTAGGTTAACATGACATCAGAAGACTACTATCAGCACATGTAAACCTATGCTACAAAATCGATGCCATGTGGTAAGCTGTAAATTTTGGCATTAGATAAAAAAGAAACAGGCGCCAGCACTAGCAAACATCTACTCAGCCAGATCGAACAGCACTTAAGCCTAAGGTAAAAAATTCACTGGAGTTACCCTCCACAAAAGATTAAAATAAGATTATGCCAGAAGTACGATTATATTAATGCTCGCAGCAATGTGAACCAGCAAATGGAAACAGCAACTCTCAGGCAACCTGCGCCTTCCCTCACTCACTGACTTTTGCATCTCTGGTGTTCTTGTCTTTTGTCACAAGCTTCCTACGCCCCCTTTCCCCATTCAGTTTTCAAGCTTCTTTAATTCTTCCCCCTTTTGTTTGTCTTGAAGGTTAATTCTTTAGTTTGTTTTTTGCTTCCTCTAAATTTTGTAATATCTTTGCTGTGATCTAGCTAGGGATTTCTCTCCATTTGAAATCAGGTTAAGCTAAAGCTATGATGTTAGAGCCAACAGTTAAACTAGAGCGTTTCTGGACAGGGATGCTAACACATCCTTAAGCATGGCGTACAATTTCTTACTTGAACATGACAAGACAGAGGAACTTGGGGTGCCAGAAGTTCCTTCTAGGCTTTCTGAAGCCAAGTATAATGTTTACGGTGATCTTTAATATCAATGGGTATGAGCTCACTCCTGTTAGCCCAGTTTACTCCTCTGTTACAATTGTCTCACAGACTAACTTGACTTTAAAATAAGAAAAGTAAATTTGTCCTTTGTATTCCCTTGACCCGACTCCAGCTTATGTTTTTAAGTTCATGTTTTTCATTGCAACTGTACACCTGTACACCTTAAGCTCTTCAAAGAAAAACTAATTACACTCTATGGGACAATAAAATAACTACTTCATTGCTTGGAAAAAAAGTCATGCTACAGTTTTGTATTCTCTCAAGGAAAGAGAGCTAGGCTTAACAGGGAAACCAGAAGGAAAGGACCACTGTACCGTATTTGCCATTTGCAGGGCTGGGTCCATCAAGCCAAGGATTTCTTCATTGTAACTTGACTCCAGACTAATTATGTCATCGATCACATCATCCATCTGCAGCAGAAAAGGTGGACAAAGAAAAACAAAACAGTTATCAAAACCACTAGGACACAGAGGCCTGACTAAGCACTTCAGCCACACACCAGCTCTCTGCAAAACGCACCCAAGCAGAGGTGTCTGAGCAGTTTTGCCACGCTCCAAATCCAATCCCTCAGCCATGACTCCTGCTATTCAGCCAGGACAGTCAGGTCATGACAAAGTTGAGGCTTCACGGTCTAACCCACTCCTCCCATCAGCTGTTACCCTGCGCTACCTGCCCACGGACACGCTGTTCCTCCCAGGAACAGTGGAGGAAACAGCTCACTGTAGAATGAGCTACGCTAACGTCGTGAATCCTTCTCCCCTGTGCAGCACTGCCTGCCTACCCTCCACCTCTTTTCTCTAGTTGTGGGGTCAAAACCTGTGTACAGACAGTAATGCCCAAGTCCCTGACACCTGCAGGGGAAGGAGAGGGAACAAAGGCTTGCTGCGTGACAGCCTGCCTGTCCTCAACAACAGAATCTGTTGGATTCACGTCCCTCATACACCCTTCTCAGGAAGCACTACCCAAGAGCAGCTCAGAGATGTTTTCAGGTGGTGCAAGCCATCTTCTTTCTGGGGCTGGGCTGGAAGGTGTCTCTGTAAGCTCCTGCAAGGTCAGGAGAAACAGAGCCCTCCAAAGCACCTCTGCAGGTGCTCCGAACTGCCCTGCACAACTGATTTTTTCCTTTTTGCTCACTATAAAAAAGGAGCTTAAATAACATTCACCTACAAAATCAATGCATAACATTGACGGTAGAAATAGTAGTACATGGGATTTTTCTGTCAGCTCCAGAAAGCGTGATCAGAACAAATTACACTGACTGGAGGCGTGGGCAAGAAAGGAACTAACAGTTACAGCCCATATCTGAAGTCTTCTTACCAGAAATAAAAAACCTCTTAGTTAAAAAAAAAACATAAATAAAAGAAAAAAGGAAAAAAAAAGGATGACTACTGAGGATGAATTACCACAGATGGATTAAAGCCTTCTCATATCATTTTTTTAAACGCAAGTGTGATCTGCACAGAAATGTGGTCTTAGAAACCATCAGGACAAGAACACATACATGCAGTCTTGGGAAAAGGGCATTAGAAAAGATTTCCTGAAGCGAGACCTTAAAACATAGTTGATAGTTCTTCCGCTATAGCGTTACAGTGCTAGAAAAGCACCAGCCCTCTTCAGATGTCTTAATGCACTTTTGACATCAGTGCTAATAAACAACGTTGTTGTTTTGTTCCTTAAATACATCTTATATTCAACTTCTTAAAGACACTATGGGGCAAGGTTATTCTTCAACATAACTTCAAAGAAACATGCTGATTAGAAAGGGGACCTGTGCTCCAACTCCTGTGTCATCCAGTACCTGCATGCATGACGCTCGTGAGTGTGTATTCAGAGCCGGGCACTCACTCTCAACCCTGCTTTGCTCTTCAAATTTATAAAACCCCTGCAGAAATAAAAAGGAAAAAAAAGAAGAAGGAAAAAAAAAAGCAAAGCATGGATCTGAGTTCATGGCACAGTCTCAGTCCCCAAAAGAGCATGTTTGAAACAGTGTCATGCACACATGTGCCTGATGACACAGCAAAGTGAAGCTGCAAATATCTTGAGGGAAAAAAAAAGATCTGGGTACAACTGGGACAATAGGATGGAACTATTTGATTTTCATTTCTTTTGAAGCTATGGAGCACAAGTAATTTCTCTTGTATGTGCAAGATATGTTCTGTAATAATTGTTTCTCAAAGTTGCATAACGTTTCCCTCGCAGAGTGCATCTGTTAAAAATCTGGCACAGAGGTTTGAGGGGTGAGGATGAAGGGACATGAGTTGTCTCCTATTTGTCATGTTACAAAAATATTGACATGATTCTTACACTTGTTAACATCTTTCAAATAATCTTCCTTCAACACCTGAGCACGCATGTAACAACCAACTAAGTTTTTGCCAGCAAAGATTAAGACAAGGTTGTGAAGGACTTCTAGGCATAGGCTAGTGAAGTCTTGTATTTGCAGCACGGAGCTCATCATGTAGCAATCAGTAACATTTTAGGGTATATTAGCTGGGATAATCTGGCCTTCCAGCTAAGCAAGGGACTTGCTCAAATTTTACTGTAAAAATACCTAAAATAACTCAAAAAACCTTTGTTTTTCTCAGTTATTTTTGCAATGCCCTTTGCTCTTTCTACACGAATGAGCCACAAATAACATTATTCCAGAAGGCTACAGCTTACAAAACTGCTTTGTAGTCTCCAAAGGTCAATTATTCACTGCATGCATCAAGCAAGGGGGGGAAGTAGTTTTAATAAGCATAAACTAGCTAAAATTGTTCAAAAAAGAAAAACTTAGAGGGACACAGTTTTTTTGCCAAAATGTTCTATGCAAATATACATTAATCAGGCAGACACAGAGGTAGTAGTTGCATTTTCAAAATGAACAGTTCAGAAAAGAAGATAAACATAACGTCTTAAGAATCAGCAAATATGGTTTAAAACAGAGAACAAGCAGATTGCAATTCCATTTTACTGAAGAATAGGTACAGGAAGAGCATATTACCTCTTTCTCACAGTTGGAGTTAAGGGTAAGCATAGCCATCGGGCTGTTGGGCGCACTGCTTCCAGTTCCAGGTGGCATGACATGATCACCGGGCTGGTTTGGACATGGCAAGCTCAGGGCTTGGTTGGCATGTTTATTTGCTAGAGTGGTAGAGAGGTACTGCTTTACCTGCTGTCGCTGGGCTTGCTGAATGTGGTACTTGGTTGGATTCTCAAGGTGAGTCTGCACCTGTACAGCACAATTTTAAAAGTGCTTTATTGTTTTACAACATCATTATACGTGCTATCGATTTGAGCTATGCATTTGTGACATATATACCAGCTAAGCATTTGACTTAAAGTACAAACCTGTGCAGCTCCAAGGAAGTCAACAGCGCTTCACTACTTCATATTCGGTGGCAAGAAATCAGTTTATGACCTAGCGTTTCAATAACTGGCTCATTAACGGTAAATCAAGAAGTTCCACTTATTTTTCTACAACATGAGATTTCTCACTTAAGACCAATGCTCAGGTTTCCCAGTTTATACAGATACTCCATAACAGACGGTTCTGCATTCAGCTACGGGACATTTAATTTTCGCTAAAATATGGAGAAACAAGTTGTACTGCAGGACTCATTTTACTTGTTAGTAGCTACCAATTAAAACCAAGTAGTATGGATTGCTATCCTTTATCAGATGTCAAGTAAACAGAGATACCAAAAGGTTCGTTGCTGGTTTTTTAGGTTTTGGTTGTTTGGTTTTTTTAAACTAACAGTTAAAAAAAAAAAAAGGAATACACCTTTTTTTTGTCTACAAATTACTTATATCTCAGACATATGCTCTAAATCATATACAAATAAGACAGCCTGTTTACAAACACATTATGCAAATAAGATGCAAGAAAAGAAGTGTTTCAGTTCAGATCAATCACTGTCCTCAGCAACAGCTATTTTTGTATTTAAAATAAGCTTTTCAGTACTTAGAGTTTTTTTCTATACAAAATATGAAAAACCTCATACCGAACTCTTCTTGCGCACCTTAAATAAGCAAGAGAAGAAAGGCAACTTTTTTCCATACAAAATTTTCACCGGTTCCTAGAAACTCTTTGTCATCTTTCTTTGATCATTAACGTTTTTACCAGAAGTTATAAAACAAACGGAAATATAATAATACTCTGAGAAGTTTTTTTGTTTTAAAACAGTTCCATTAAAGTGACTTTTGCTGTTACAAGTGACCACGTATGTCCCCCCACTTATTGTTGTGGAAGAAATTAAATAAAGTATACTAGATACCAGAGGAAAAGATTTCAAGTACACTGTAAGCCTTCTTAGCAACAGGTTTTAAAATAAGTCTGCAATAACAACTCACCTGATAATGACTATACTCAAGCATTTCCAGAATACTACTTAGAGGTTGCAAGAGAAGCGACTGCAATATCCTTTGCTCTATGCTACTCCGGTTTGAGGGATTCACATATGGAAGCACCATAAACAAGCTACCCCAAAACAGCAGAAGAAATTTGAATGCCACTGCTCAGACTTATAGTAACCTACGCTAATTAGCCACGCATGTAGAGAAACAAACAGTTCACACAGGGGCTCTTCTTGGAAGCTATGCAAGTTCAGCCCTAAATATTGGTATTATTTTTTTTTCCCTGGCTTTGATGTCATGCTTTTTCACAAACATAAAAGGACCTTTTAAATGATGGGTTATCAAAGTCAGATTGACAGTTCGCTCTAGGCTAATTTGCTATTAATCTTTCGTTCCAGTTGTGCTAATAGACAATGGTATTTTTCTTTAGCAGTAAGGTTAAAAGTTTTTAAGTACAGAGTAAGAAATAACCAAACAAATGCTTTATGAGCCTAATGCATGTCCCCTGGCAGTGGGGTGCACTGGATAAACCCACAGGGCTACACAGTCCTGTCCTCAGCTTCCAGGCGCCGCAGTCCACCGTCCTGCCCCACACAGCCCCTGGTCCACCCAGGACCTGCAGCTGAACACGAAGGCTTTGAAAAAGCTCTACCATGACCTCAGCCTTCCTGGTGCTCCAGAGCCCATTAATTCTGTCTCAGTCTATAGCTGGAAGAAGTTTTCCAGTTCAGGAATGGCTGATAATGAGCTAAAGCACGTCCCCAACGCATTTATCTGCATTTGTACACTGTCACGGTACTGTGCACAGTCCCTTCACCTTCCAGAACTTAATTTTTTTCTTTCTATCTAACTTTGTGATAAAAGCCTATACTCAAGCACAGGCATCAAAAGCTGCTCAACTTGCATTATTTTCCAAAGTCTCTGCTGCACAGGGAAGCACACTTAAGATAGTGTTTCTATCTAGAGAGTTTAATCTGATTTGTTGCACTAAATCACAAGAGAACACAATACAGAAGTCTGCAGTGATAAGTACAGCACCTGCTTTGTCAGTCCCAAGTTGCGTTATCAATTTTTCCATCACCAGCGGTAAGAGTTACACTACCCAGATAATTCTATTTTTCACTTAAATTGTCATGTTCTGAGTAGATAAAAGTTATCAGGAAACGACTTATTTTCGTAACGCTTACCTTTGAATATGTTATTTTAAAAACAAGCCCTACTTGTCTGACAGAATTTGCACATTCCTTTTCCTCCGCTGGCATCAGATACCACAGCTGTTCTCCGTGGACCCTGCCAGGGCGACGGGATGGAGCAAAGCCTCTCCTCTCTGCACCCATCTCCTACCCACCCTCCACGCTCCCAAGAGAGAGACCAGCACAATTCCACCATCCACATCTCAACTGTGCATCATCAAGTATGACATTATTTATAATATACACTACTACACTGACCTGACTCCACTACATGTCAAGTTTTGAAACACAAATTGCCTAATTGACATAGGATTTTTGTTGGCAAAACACATACTTATTTCACAGGAACATACTCTCCCCGAGATTTTGTTTTATTATCCTGTAGAATTGTTATTTTGCTACTCCATAATTAATTTTTTTTTAATGGGCTGTGCTGCCCTCAGTATGCCAGGGAAGGCGAGGGAAAAAAAAAAAAAAAAGTTGTGAACATTACGCAAAGAAGCTGCATTCTTTTCTCAAACTTTGAAGTTGCAGATTTCTACTCAATACAGAAGTGTAACTATTCTCTGAGAATTTTAATGTTGCTGAGAAGTGCCTTGTCTTTGGTACAGGGCAACAGATTTCAGCTGCAGTTCAGAAGCTACTGTCTGCTTTTTTCATTTTTTCCTTTTTTGGGGGGTAGGGGGAGGGAATCTTCCTTCCTCTGCTCACCCTTACAGTGAACGCAACAGCTAGATAAACATTACTGCATATTTGTGTGCAGCATAACTTCAAAGGCAAATTACAATCTAGTCTGTGCAATTCCTGACACACCACACGGTCACTCTGGTTGACAGAAAAAGGTATATCCTCCTGGAACAGAGTTATCCAGTAGACCACGTTTTCATGGAGAGTCAACTCTTACAACACATGGGCAACAACTGACTCTGAGGAAATTCATTTACTGTCAAGTGTTTGGGCTTCAAATCAGTGGCAGCGGAGAAGATGCTCTATTGCCTTTAAAGAAAAAAAGACTATCGGAAGAACCATAGCCATTATACAGGAGATATGCACAGTTCTCCAAGGATGTGTCACCTTCTCACATAAATCCAGTAGTGAACCGAAGAACACAGAGAACTGCCTTTTCCATCATTAAATTGCTCCAAAATGATGCAAAGGAGAGATTCAGCGCCTGAACATTTCCTTTTAATCCACAGCTGGTCAAATACACTTTCACATTCAAATACAAGAACATACAATTATTCTCCAAATAGAGGAGAATGCCACATAACTGTTCCCACCGTGTATGTCAATGCAACAAGGACATCACACAGCATGGAAACAGCTTCACACACATTCCTTCCTGGACAGATGTACTGGTTTCAACTACCCTTGCTCTGGCCAAGTGTGAGGCTCAACAGGTTACACAGAAGGCATCTGAGAAACTTCCATTTGATTCTTCGTTGTCTCACTTCCAGCCCTCTTGAACTGCCTTATGAGCTCCGTCATTGAAACCTGGTGGGGACTAGCTTTACAAACTCGGGCTTTTTCTTGAGATTAACTCTGTCTTTGGCTTAGACCATCCTTTTCTGCAGCCTCTCAAAGAGAGCCCAATTGTACCTGCTTGGGCAAATGTCCCAAGATGTACCAGTCGTAGTTAGCCTGCAGCTAAGCCATAAAGCAGTCTTATTTTTTGACAAAATATCTCACAAGCAAAGAGCTGCAAAACCAATCCTAAAATGAAATTCCACTACCACAAATTTGAAACCATGAATAAAAGCCTTTGACATAATTAAGATCTATTTTTGGTCCTCAGCCCCCTCTTGCCTTTGGGATGAAGAATAGTTCTTGTTGTTCTTCCAAATTCATGAGACAGAGAGTACACCACGAAAATTTATTGGTTTGGATATACTCCTTAAGAAATGCAACTGAATGGGGACATGCAAGAAAAATGGAACAACTTGAAATTGAATCCTCCAGATCTCCAACCTTCTATCTCCAGGAATCTGAACCCAAACTTTGCTGTAACATTAAAACATTATATAAACTGAGTAGAACACTGGGTTTTGGGCATCTGGGTATTAGCAAGCAAGAAGTAATGCAAGTATCATCTGCAGAACTTTGGAAATTATTTAAGAAAAGATGGTAAAACCAGCTAAATTTATCACACCATAGCAACAAAAGCCTTCAGCTACAAGGAACTACAGATCAAGGACGGCCAAGTGGCAGCCTACAGCCTGGGCTCAGCAAAGAAACACCTGGAGGAAGGCTGTACTTTCAATTTGTATTCAGGTGCATTTTCAATTTGCTTGGTTATCAAGGTTGTGCTTACACAGGTAATACAGAATAACACTGTCTCTGAAGTAGAGGCCCAGAACTGGTTTCATGCTAGAACAGCCTCCAATGCCAACTCAGCAGCATCTCCACTAACCTCTGTGGGCTGGCTCCACACAGTTGGAACTGTCACAGCATCAGGTTCTCCTGCCCTATCAATTTCTTGGGTCAGTGATTCAAGTTCCATCCGTTCTTGCCATGCTGACACTGAGTTAGTATGTTTTTTCTGAGCTGAGGCACTGAGAAAAGTAGCATAAAGAAATCAGCTTGACTGCATCCTTATGTAACCCAGCTTAGACCCTACAAGGCTGAGCTGGGCCGGAAAAGTTTTGGATGGAGCCACGCTGATTACTCAGCATTCGTCCCTCGC